ACATGCCGTTACCGCCATCGACCAGCAGGGGGCGACTCTGCTGGTTGCAAAAAGAAATCTGATCGCACAGAAGTCAAAGCATTTTACATCAGACTCTGCTCTCAAACACTTATGTGTTTAATCAAAGCAAATTCATTATTCCTTTTTGTTTTGGCATGGCCTATGAGCTGGTCGTTTACTACAGCACGTCCTGCCAAACGGTGTATAATTTCATATGGATAGACACAGTGTGGTGTTATGTAACTGTAATAACCCACAGGTCCAACCGGTTGTTTCAGAACGTACAAAACAAACGCACCTTTTTTCATGCAAAACAGCTTCTATGCTTGTTACAGACCTCAGTTATACGAGTTTAGACCCTAAAGCAGCCTTTTTGAAAAAGTAAAGAGCAGCAAATGAAACGTTCCGTCATGAAGCATAAAGCATTTTTTCAGAGTCACCACAGTGCATCCAAACACAGCAGTCATGAACAAACACGTCCAGCAGCCTGCGGTGCTTCTCCCGTCAGGCTGTACATGCCGTTACCTGTTCTACACGACACCGCTAACAACAACATGCCGTGTGCATCCACTGAACACCGCTCGCTAATTATGTAATAGAACAGTGTGTCATTTAGTTCCAGCATACACAGCTGATTATTGTTATAAGGCTGAATAAATACCCAGGAATCATACACCGTGTAATCTGAATCTAATCTAAACTGAAACTAGATTCTGAAGCTGACGTCACAGGTTTAGGCGATAACAATGCAACTGTCAATATTGTACTTACCCACACAGTGACGCTTGGTGTTTGAGTTGCCAGTCCAGCCTCGGATGTCTCCGGCCGGGGTTATACTTTCCATATCTGCAAGTACATGAAGTCCACTTTCCCAAGTCTGCAAGAGTCCAGGCGGACGTACAGCGCATGTAGGGAATGGAGTCCTTTGAGCAGAAAACCGACAATACTTTGTTGGTTTTCCCTCTTTGGAACAAGACAAAGTGTCAATAACAAAACAATACATTCAAAACATCCAACGTAGGTTCCAACATTTTAAAGGTGGTTTCTTACTTTGGAATATCCTTTAATTTTCTCCACCACATTCTCTGGCAAGTTGCTTTCATTGTTGCGACAGACATTACAACGGGGCGACCTTTCTAAGCTAAAAGGTTTAACAGTACCATACGTTCAGAGGAACCATAAAGATAGTCTGAAAACCAACAAAGAAATGTCAGCTCAACGAGAACATCTAGCTAAAGTTAGCTCTTAATGGCCAACGTTATATCCTGCTGGCCATTCCAGTCTAGGACTAACATTAGCTACTTTTAACTACTTGTAATATCAGGATCAAACTCTAGCAGCCAAAATTAGCCAACATTAGCTAGTATTAGCCATTTTCAACTGCTGGTCATGCTAGAATAAAACTGTAGCGGCAAAATTAGCTAATATTAGCTAAGATTAACCATCCTAAGATACTTGTCATGGCAGACTAAGATTGCAGCAGCCAAAGTTAGCCAACATTAGCTAATATTAGCCACCTTCAACCACTCATCTTGCCAGGTTAAAACTCTAGCAGTCAAAATAAGCCAACATGAGCAAACATTAGCCACCTTAAATTGCTAGTCATGCCAGACTAAGATTGTAGTGGCCAAAGTTAGCAAATAACAACTAGCATTAGCCATCCTCGGCATACCAGGATGAAACTGTAAAGTTAGCCAAGATTAGCTAACATTAGCCTGTTTATATCTGACTGTAGCAGCAAAAGTTAGCAAATAATAGCTATAAATAGCCACCCTTAAATACTGGTCATAATAATGATTTTAATGCTAACACGTTTAATATTTCTTGCTTCAAAAGTCACAGAGTTTCACACTAAACCTCGGTACGGTCAAATGACAGAGCTGTAAATATACAGAGCCCCAAAACAAACAAAGCAAAAATGTGACTAATTAGATCAATAAACATTAAATCACTGTTAAATTCTTCAAATGGAATGTATGCCGAAATATTTTTTTTAAAAAGGGGAAGGGAACAAAAGGAGTTGAAAATAAAGAACATTTTTCAAGTTGATTAAGGGGAAATGTAAAGCTTTTTATTACATCCCATTTAATAAGTTAACAGTATTGTGATACCTTTTGTTTCTGATATCTTTGACTTGATATTTTTCTGCCTTTTGCTTGTTTTGGAGTTCCATAAAAATGAAGTGAAACCATTAAATTGGACGTACGTCCATAAGAATCCCTCAGTGTTTAAAGAAGTCATACACAAAACTCAAACACCTCCAACTGTGAAACATATTTAATACTTTGACAAATGTTGTGAAAAATACTGTGACTCTCAAAGAACATTAAATCCCAGTAAACATCCGACCAGAACTATTTACAAACCACACCAGTTTTATCGTGGCACTGTTGAAGAACAATACTTGTGTTTTTACAGGTTTTACACCATTGACGACAAATCCTCTACAATTCATTCCTGTTGATCATTTTCCAAATTATCCATTAGTGTTTCGATTGATCTGTGTCCTTCCAAGCAGCCGTTTCTTCCTGTTCAGTCCAATTACAATCAAGTGCGCTCTGATTAAAGTGTTGCTGAGAAGGTTGAGGATCTAAGACTTTGGAGTAAAAACTAATAGACAAAAAACTTGGAAACCAGTGGGAGGATTGTGGGAGTTTGGCCATTTCTTGTTTAAAAAAAATAAACAGCTGCATGAATTCTCAGATCTCCAGGAAGAACAGATGTACAGTGATTAGCCACCATCCTGTCCATAGCAGGCTAAAAATGGACCATCCAAAGTGAGCTGATGTTAGCTAGCATTAGCCTTAAGCTTAGGGTCATACCAGGCTAGGACATAAGCCATATTAAGCTACTGGTTGGTGGTCAAAGTTACCCTCCTGAAAAAAACTATACTGTGACGAAAAGAATGAATATATAAAGGGGTGACAATATAATGCAAATCTGACAAAGTGCAATCGAAAACAATACCCTAACACCAAAGTTTATTTCAAACTTAGCTCTTCATTACAAAGCTTACCCGCAATTTCTATATTCGTCTATCTCCCGCAGAAACTTAGCCTGGATGCAAGGTGGCGCTAATTTTACAGGAGCAACCCCGTAATCAACCCTTTTAGCCTTTCTGTTTCCATTGTCGCGACCCAAGTGAGGATTAAGCGGTGTATAGATGATGGATGGATGTTTCCATTGTGGCACAGCAAGACGTTAAGTTCGAGTGCTCCAAAACGATGACAAATAGTAGTTACTGGATGTAGGAAGTAGAGCAGTGGACGAGTTTCATGTCAGCTTACATGTAATAGTGTAACAGTTATGCTAGTCTGCGTTGCTTTAATCCAAATAAAATCACTGTGAGCGAGGCTGAGGACGGGAGGCGTTGACTCAAAACAGTGACGAGAATTATTTTGCATGCAGGGAGGCGAGCGCTAACTTTAAAATAGACAAATGACCCCCAAAAATAAATAAAAAATACGGCAGGGCTGCTTTATTGACGATCCAAACCTTTGGCAAAACATTTCAGTCTAAAAAATGGGAGTTGTTTTCGCTTCCTGTAGTGACCTGGGTTTAAAAACCACAACAAGCAGATAGTGAAAGTAGAGGCTTATACCAACAAGCTACATCTGGTTAGCCAGACGACCTGAAACGGTGAACTGTACGACGAAGACGACAATGTTTGAGAGAAGGTTGCTACTCAACAAGGACAGTACGAGTTTATCCAATCAGCATTTGATGCATAATAATAGAAACGGTTCAACTTGACGCTGTTCTTTTAGCTGTACGATAAAAGAGCGCTACAGCCAGGCGATGGTTAGCTTAGCTTAGCACAAAGCGCTAACCCGGCTGTGCTCCAATCTAATAAAATCCACCTTAAACCACCTCTAAAGCTCACTGATACTGTTGTGTCGGGAGATATTTTGGTTTATTGTCGAGGTGTTCGTGATATTTTGTCCACTGACTGAGTTTATTGTCGTAGAATTAAAAGCTGCCTTAAAAGGTGGAAACCAAACAAACAAACGGATGGATGGTTTGGCAACAGTAAGAGGAATGCAAAGTGCACATTACCAAAGCAGCAGTGTGTTGTGTTGCTGACGACCTCTGACCCCTGGAATGGGTTTGGGTCAATGAGTCGGTTTCAGGCTGAAACCGGAGCTCAGCTCGTAAACTTCCACCGACTTCTCTCCTTCTGACAACAATGACATCAGACAGTCCTGCTGAAACGCTGCCTGCTTTGCCAAGTGCTCGCAAATCAGCTCCCGCTTCGAGCGATCACACGCCTCAGATCCAGCATTCTTTGTGATACAATCTTTTCTTTGGCTCTCGTCTCCGGTGAACCTGAGCTCAGCCGGTGGAACTCGTGCTCCCTTTTTGTTGCAGTTGTTTGGACCGAGCTCAAGGTTTAGCGCCGGAGACGATGGATTCCTTTTGTCTTGAAATCAGATGACCACGTGCACATTTACAGTCTGAGGGCTTTCTGCTTCTCCAGATGTTTATAAAGATATTTGTGACATTTTAAATCGACATGTCAAATACTTTCCAAAAAAAATGTTAGAGAGCTCATCGACCAACTTCGAGCAGGTTGTTTTGATGCCAAAAGTGAAGCTGTCATTAAAAATCGACGACGCAAACGTCAACTAAGGATATTTTCTTAAGCACATGTTGCTGCAGGTCACAGTGACATAAAACTAAACATAAAGAATACTTTTAATACCTGATCATAAAAATAAACATAAAAGTCATTTTCATTTTACTTTCATAACTGATTCATCGACAAAAACAAAAGTCATGGTCGTCTGATCCAATTTGTTTTAAATATGGGCCATTTTTCATTGTGAGAAAAAAAAAAGTGCTAAAAGTGGGTCGACTGTTGATTTTTAAAAATATTTTCTCAAAGTATTTGATATATCGAGCTAAAATTGCACAAAATCCTGATTTGATGCAATGAAAAGCAGAATTTGTTGTAAAAATATGATCATGTTAGATAAACTACACATGAACTACTTTCTCATTTGTAGTCAGGTTGACGTAAACGGGTGTTTGTTAATCCAGATGAACAGCACTGAAGTTCTCGGTAAACCTGGAATCGTCCAAATGAAGTTAATCCAGAAGTTGAGGTCTTTAAAGAGGAGAGCCAGACTGATGTCCGTGAAAACGATGCAGCGATTTGTGTTTGAGGAACGCGGCGATCGACGTCGACCTTTTCACCTTCGCTGCGTCCGTGTACGTCTGCGGCCGCTGTCCGGAGGCCGAGGACAGGTGGTGGCGGCGGCGGCGGCGTTGCTGCTGCTGATGCTGCTGCTGCTGCTCCCAGCTGGAGTCGCCTCTCTGGACTCCACCTTCTCCGGTCACGGCTGCTCGAGCCGGAGCTCCCAGCAGCTGGAAGATGTCGAGCGGCGCCGTCCGACTCAGGTACTGCCAGGGCCTCTTCCCCGCCGTGTCCCGCAGCCGGACGTCGGCGCTGAACTTGCCAACCAGCAGCCGAATGATGTTTCTGTTGCCGTGGATGGCGGCGACGTGAAGAGGCGTGTGGCCGCTCGTCGCCTTGGCGTTCACGTCGAAGGCCAGACCAGCCTTTTCAACTCCGTACCTGAAACCACAGCCGGAGGAGAGAGAACGTCAGTGCAAGAGGAATTTGAGTCCTTCTGTCTCAACAGTTTCTGCCTCGACTGTTTGTCATTTACCTGAAACTTTTAAAGCATTAAAACACAGTTGAACATTTTAGCTTTATCATTGAAATACTTCGTAATATAATTTTCTTTTTCTAACTGCCGTCTTGCAGCACGTTTTTTCACGCATTGACATTTAGGGCTACGTCTCGACGACAACATCTCGGGAACTATTAAGAAAAATGAAGACATGCGTAGCTCTATGCTAACTGTAGGCATGTTGCGTAACAAACTAACCGGTTAGCTCAACGCACAGCTGAGCCTGAACTCAACTGAAGCTAACAAAGTGCAGCTAACAGCAAAAACTGGCTGAACGTCCAGCGTGTGTGACACAGAGTGAAGTTGGACCTTGTGGGATGATAGAAAACGTAGGACCAGCCACACACAAAATGAAAACTCGTAATGTGGCGCAAATACTGTGAATCGTGCAGACGTCACCCGGCAGCCTCGCACTGGTTCGGTTCAGTCTTTACCTTTACCAGCTTCCTCAAAGGGAACTGTCGGGTTTCTCTCTATTATAACTTGACCTCAGCGCCCTGAGATGTTGCAAACTGGCGCTACATAAATTCAATAAATGGATATAAAGGCTCGCAGCGCTTCGAACAATGTCCCATTAAAGGTTGGATAAAGTTGTGAACGTTCAGATTATTAGAGCTGACAAACGTCCAGAAAACCACCAGAGCTGTAATCCATGTGAACACATCACTGAGTAAATGCCACAACGCTCTGCGCTATTCTAACTATTCGCTTCGGTTTCAGGATGCGACATAAACCAGCCCGTCCTGTTCCACAGAGGAGCTGTCGGCCGCCTACCACAGAGTGTTGAGGACTCGGTGGTCTCCATGTTTAGCGATCCAGTGCAGAACGGTGAAGCCGGAGATGAAGTCTCGCTTGTTGAGCAGCGACGAGTCCTCTCTGAACAGGGAGTAGATGTCCGGCCAGGCGCCCGCCGCCCCCTTCACCAGCCAGGCGTGTTCTCTGGGCTCCAGGGGAACCAGCGACTGATCAAACAAGGAACATGGAGAGCATCAAGCATCATCACTCAGTCGTACGTCTTATAGAATGTTTCAACTTCAAGAAAAGAGAGAATTAGCTGGGACTTGGTCAGTAGGTCAACTTTCAGACAGGAACCAACACCACACCTGAACTCTGGGAGCAATGTTTAGTCAAATATACCACTTCATGAAACATAACCATATTGTTCTACAAGCTTTTTATAATATTTAAGATGTTTCTCTACTTAGTCTTGACCCAGAATTCAACTCAGGTGCTGCGTAACATCTAATCAAGCAACAGTCATGCAGCTCAAGCTCTGATTGGAA